GACTCCCTCACATGTCAATGTTTTAATTGAAATTTTATTGTAAGTGCATATTTGGCTTTTATGTGTGTGTCTTTGTACGTGTGTAATGATGTGATGTAATTTTGATGCCTATCTTTGCCAGGTCTCCCTTGCAAAAGAGATTTTAAATCTCAATGGGTATTACCTGGTTAAGTAAAGGATAAATAAATAAAATAAATAAATAAAATTTGCATAGCGTGTGACCACATTTAGAGATCCAAATGTCCCATTCTGGATGAACATATGAATCCGTTGATTGCATTCAACGCCCCTAACTTAATACCCTTACAGCCCATCATTCACTGAACAAACACCCTAAGGCCTTTCTGGGGTGTGTCTCTTCTGCATTAACAATGTGTCTATTCATCTTTTTACAAAATTAACGTATGTGAAGAATGATTCTCTTGCAGTTCTGCAGTAAAGTCCTAATTTTACTCCAATCTGGTCGTTGACTGCATCATTCAGGGATATAATCTCATCCATACCATTCCACACAGGATTACTTTGCCTCTTAGACCACAGGCATTACCTTTAAGCATATAAACAAACGTTTTTTGGTTTTTTTTTTTCCACCTCCTTTCCCAATAGCTTTTTTGGCTGGTGTGAGATGACATCCTCCTTTAAAATCTGCCATTTATGCATTTGACCATCTGTTTATATTTATGCATTTAGGAAATGCTTTTATCCAAAGCGACTTACAAAGTGGACACAATGTTACGGTTATGATCAATATGACCGTAGGTTCTCTAGAGGAAAATCCCTAGTCCGAATCAGTGGTGAGAGCAAAGAGAGAGACAGGGAAGCGCAGAATTGATTTATTTTATGTCACTTTTTTTTTTTATTTTATTTTTTTTTTTTTTTTACAGCATTTAAATTAAACTTGTGGTTTGAAAGGATTTTCTAACTCTATTGGACCTGGAACCAAGCCCCTCGAGTCTTCTAAGACCTCTGACAGGTTTTCTTACAGTATTTCTCCGTAATTATCTCGGTCCATCCTTCTATGAAACATAAACAAAATTCCCCCTCTCTGCTAATGAGGAGTATCCACACAGCATAATGATAACACCACCATGCTTCACTATGGGGAGTTTATGTTCAGGCGAGTGTGACAGATAGTTCCCTTCTGCTCTCCTTTCATCAGAACACCTTGCTGACTCCAGCATGATCTCTGTCTGAAAGCAAATGTTGCATCTATGACATCTTTGTTGCAAACATTGCTTAAATCTTTGTTTTTACTGTATTTATACTATTTTCAAATTTTATTAAAATATTTTTTCACAGCTAATAGATATCCTGCACAAGATTCTCCAACTTTAATTCTGAGAAAAATGTCAGAATTCTGAGATTAAAATCAGAATTCTGAGGAAAAAAAGTCTGAATTCCGAGACTAAAGTCAAAATTCTGAGAAAAAAGTCAGAATTATGAGATTAAACACAGAATTCTGAGAACAGGGTCAGAATTCTGAAATTAACGTCAGAATTCTGAAATTAAAGTCAGAACTCTGACTTTTTTCCCATATTAAACTGAAATAATATTTACTAATCAGTTTTTATTTTTTTGTAAACCACAGAAAATCACTGAAATTTCTGATTTTAACGCGTAAAATGTGAAAAAGTTCACAAAAAGGTAACAAATAATTATAATATATAATGTCCAGCAGATGTCGCTGTTTAGTCGTGTTTGACGAGCGTGTTATCCCCAGAGCTACCGGCAGATGGCACTGATAACACTGGCGGCTCCGTAGCTCAGCTATGGTGGCAGGAGAGAGGCAGCGTCAGCTCAGCTGGCGCAGAGGGAGGGACAGATCAACCAGTAATCGCTAGCGTCCCCTCAGCCATGGTCCTCTCGACGCAAACCCCTTCGACTTGAGCTTCCTATCCTCTACAGGAAGAGAAACTTTTGATTTGGAGCCACAAAACAAGATGCTGGACGCTCCTAGCCCGCTGATATAAGCGACACAGCGGAGGAGAAAGTATCGACCTCATATTAAACCACAAAAGCAGAAGCAGCTGCTTTGGTGTTACCTTTTTCTTCTTCTTCTTTTTTTCGCTCTCGGAGGGAACGACGGCATCCGGCCTGAGAAGAAGAAGCTCCGAGGTCGGGGACTCCGGTCGGAGCAGCCTCCATCGCTTCTGGTGAGGGGCATCACATTTCAACTTTATTTATTTGGTATATTACCGATAATGTAAAGCTTTATTAGGATAAAACGGTATTAAAATGTTTATTTAGAGGGTGTTTGAACAGAGAGGTGTTTGAGTCCAGTTTGTAGTGAGACACATGATGTTGGAGTGAGTTGAGGGTCATGGCTGCTGCTGGTGGTGGTGGTGGTGGTGGTTGGTTCTCCTGTGGTTCATCTTTGCTGGTTCACACCGAGCGGAGCTCCACTAACAGGCTGTCAAAGGGAGGGATGGCTGCTGCTTTCAGAGATGTCCTGCTCCCTGGATCCAACCGTTCCTCACCCAGAGGCGTAGCTAGGACATTTTGATAAAGGTGGCCAGGCACCAACCAATGTCCCCT